GTTTGCCCATTGTACTGGCCACAAGCTAAAGATCACCGCAACCCCGATTTTCTGCAGCCACATCGTGAACCACAACCATTCTTGCAGTTGCAGAATATTGTGTTCAGCAACTCCTCTGGAGCTGGCGGTAAAATTGTAGGCGCATTATGCAACCCCTGGGGTTCGAAATCATGCTCTAACCAAGTCTGAACTTGGTAGTAAACACGGTTGAAATGTTGGGGAGCTGTTGCACTTGGTGGAATATTTGATAACTGCACAGGTTTATTAAGTTTGGTTGACTTGACGAGTTGTGTATAACGAGGATGATCGATACTGCCCTCGCATTTAGGAGCATTATAGATTGCCAATAAAGTTTGCACTCCATTCTCAATAACTTTTTTACAACAATAACCTGACAGTTTTCTTCTTCAAATGTTGTTGATCAACTTCAAAATCAAGTTGATCCAAATTTCGAAGTTTTTGCAGTGTTCTTAACAACGTTTTATTCTTACAAACGTTGTAGAGAATTGAATCGCTACATTATTTACCTAACTTACTCAAACTAAATATTTGCAAAAAATGCACAAAAAGAAGTTTTTTACTTTTGACCTTGGTTATCTATAGTCGCGTACACACTATCATAAGTAGGTTTTGAGACAAGTTTTAAGATTCTGAAGTAAAGTTTTATACGATCTTACACTTTTTTACCTTGAATTTCGAGATTGGTTCCATATTTTGACTAATATGGCTATACTATACATCCAGGGTATGATGAGCTGCACCTGAATTTTTGTACATGGTTCCGCAACAAATGCCAACAAGACATCCAATACCCTTATAAAATATTACGGGCCGATGAAACTCGATTTACAAATTGTGGAATGTTTAATCGACATAATTAACATATCTATTTGGAATCAAACAAATCCCACCACTTTGAGGAAAGGAGACCACAAATTAAATTTCGAGTTAACATTTGGTGCGGATGGTGGGTTCAAAAATTCTGGGTCCTTTATTTTTGAAGGCACCTTAAATGAAAGTCGATATCTTCTATTCCTTCGGAATGATCTGGGTATTATGTTGGACGACTTGGATTTAGAATTACGGCGCAATGTACAAAGGCTTCAACATACTTAATCTCTTCTGGATAATTATGCCCAAGTGTGGCATCATCAGGACGAATAATTTTCTGGCGCTTGGGTTGAAAGAAGCGGTCCTATTTTATGGCCAGCTCGATCACCCGATAGTTCAGTCCCTGTCATACCAAAATAAATATGACAATTTAAATGAACTGAGAGAAGCTGTTGTTGGAGCACTTAAATACTTACAATAAAATAACTTATTCAGTTTTAAAGCACTGTAGTATTTGCATTGGTAATAATGATAGACTTTTTGAAAATATTTGGCAATCAAAATTATAGTTTCTAGGTTTCAATTCTTATTATTATTAGTATGTTTTGATTTTTATAATAAACCCTTTAGATGAGTTGCCGTCTTAATTAAAATAAACTTATTACCAATTTTAAGGTGGTTGGGTGGTTGTCAAAAGAAATATTGAAGCATATGGTTATTATTTGTAACTATGGAAACAATTCTGTATGCCATTTTCCATGGCTAACTTCGATCAACCACATTAAAAATGAAAAATCATTCGCAGACACTTCCCTTTCGAAAAAACCGTACGATTTCATATATCACTGAAAACGTAATAAAATGGTCTATTTAATAAATGCTTAATCAAATATGGTTTAAATTCAAAAAAAGACAATTTATTGTCACACCTCAAAAGTGACAGTTAGATAATTTGTAAAAATGTCTTATGCCATTTTATTTGGCATGCAATTTTCTTAAATCTTTCTATTTGATGTTGTGTCGTGTCAGACTACTACTGACTCAGATAGGAGTTATTTAAAAATATGTCATAAATTAGTTTTTTCAAATATCTCTTGACAGCTGTGAAATATTGAAAAAATAAAATTAAGTTCAAGTAGAGCATTTAAAACTGCAATTCTTTGACCATTCAACCTTTACCGTATCTGCTGCAGTTTCCAAGAGCAAAGATTTGAAAATTTCCTTTGAAATTATTGGAGTGTATGGTATAAAAAGCCAGACCAATTGTCGCGATCCATATCTTTCAACCAATTTACCTAGAGAACATAATAATTGTGTAATTCATAGATCACAGCTGACAGACAAATGATCTGCATAGGTATTGAACACTTGTATTCTGAAAATGCATGAACTTTATTTTTTATACATGTTTGTATGTTTTTTACGGGTAATCAAAGCTGAATATTCAAGAATATTCAGCTTTGAACTTAGTTTGGTTAAAGTAAAACAAAATACAGTCAAAGCGCAAGCAAATCATTGTTGTCCTTACTAATAAGATTGTTTACTACCATGCTAATATGTTTACTTAAATGGGCTAACAACTTTTCCTAAATAAACGAAAGATAGTGTTGAGATGAAAACAACCTTTTATGGTTGGATGGCGTAGGCAAATGACCGAGATTAACAGGGTCACTTGTCATTAAATTGTCATTTGAGTTACTTCCAATCTGGTAGATAATCTACAAAATCTCAATTATCGAATGATTTTACCACACTGGCGGGTACGTAAACTTTTAATGCTGAATCTCGCATTTTAAAATAACAAAACGTTAACATTTAAAGCTCAGCAAGAAATTATATTCTTTTATAAAGAAAACAAAAAATTTAATGTATTTTTATTTTGCTTAATAGGCCAGAAGAATTACGACAGAATCTCTCAAACATGGGCCTAACGTAATGTAACTTAGATAACTATTGAAAATATTCAGGTGCGCCAACTTGAAAAGGTGTGCTATTTGCATAAACAACGAAAAAGTGAAAAAATGCGAAAATCGTATTTCCTTACATATACATTTTTTCGCTAAGAAACTTTCGACAAGATAGAGTTGGTCCGATATCCGTAGATTTGAAACGTTTGCGAATGGGCAAAAAATAGAAACGTTTGCGAATAGGTACTGTTTTTCTCTTGCCTTGTTTTTACCTGTTTTTTTGCTCTTTCGAGCATTTTAAAGCGAAAATTTCAAATCTACGAATATCGGACCAACTCTATCTTATCGAAAGTTTCATAAGTAGGTATATCTTTGTTCGCAATTATCGGGTAAAAATAAAAAAAAACGCCTAATTTTGACTTTTGAGTTTAAACTCGATATCTCTAACGCATTCGCACGCATAATAAAAATACCTATAGCGACTTGCTCCTATTCGCAAAGTCGTATTAGGCTGGGTTTTTATCTGAAGGTAGAAATGGGTACCCTAACGAATTAAGCCCATGACGTGTACCTGTGCACCGAAACTGAAAACTCTGCTTCCAAAATAAATAAAATACAAGGATGCGACACACCCTACCTATGTGAACATTTCCTAGGTACTTTTTTACAAACCCTTCTATGTACTTTAGTGTAAACATTATTTTCATAGTATCGAAATTCTTTGAAATGCTCTGAATAAAAATAATTTAGTATAGGTTCTCGTATGTGCAGCGAGCAATCCGACGCAAAACTACACGAATGACTATGCCTTGCTTAAGGCGACAATTTCACTTTAAAATCTGAATATAACAAAATATTCACTCAAATTTCATGCATGGCTTCAAAATCACTTTAGGGAATAAAAGAGACGTCATACATGTCAACATGCAATCGATAATTGGAAACAAATGCAATCAAACGTCACAACGGTTACAGCAAAGTAATCATTCCCATAGATAAAGAAAGAACCAGAATTCTTCCGGGTGTAGTTTGGACTAAGACACCTAAACCTACATTTCATTGTGTATCTATATTGAGAATTTTCTTGAAACTTCTAAGCTGACGCAGATTTGAAAGTTGCAATATTCGTTTAGCATAATTATCTCATAAGTGTGGTAATTTAATATTTGATAATACCGATTTTTTCAAATCTGTTTAATCGTAACATGCAAATAGATGTGTATGTATATGTTCTAATATCCTCTTTCTTCAATCACTCAAAGTTTCTCCTCTCGCAGCTTTAAATATATGCAACAAATTATTCTCAGTAAAAACTATGAAGTTATTTAATTTGGGAAACTCCAGATCAAATCACTTGATCAGTGCTAATATCGTGGCTGTAAAAGTCTTTAGGGATAAGTTAAATTAAAAGTTGTCATTGAATATTGATATTAAATCATTTGATCAAACACCATAGAAAGTGACACCCTGAGAAGCGATTAAACAACTAATTTAATTATTTATATTGAATAACTTGCCTTAGTAAAAAAACAGTACGAAAATTTGAAACCCTTTGCTGCTAATAGTTCTAATAGTTGCTGCTTTAGACTAAAAGCATTATCGATGTAATCAAAGTAAAGCACACGTGTGGCATGAACCGACGGTAAAATTAAAAACAGAACTTTTTGTAATCTAAGTAGGGTTTTGCTTAAGATCCGAACAAACACTGAAAATAATTTTGATTTTCCCCGAATATTATAGTATACTTCAGTTTATTCCTAGTACTGTACTAGGAATAGATATAGATAAATGAAAGCACTTCATGTTTCCTCCAACGATTAACAAGTGTTTTACATTGATTGATTCAAGGCATGTTACTGAGAAATAAAACTCCGTTATCACAAATTATTAATCACAAATTTACCTCCTCAATTGGAAATACTGCAATGACGAGAACGAGATATATATCCAAATTGCGGTGTAAAACGTAAGGCGCGTCGAAATTTAATCACTATCTTTGAAACTACAAACCATCTTCATTTAAAACTTTGAGGAAACAAAAACAAAAACTTTCTATACGCTACATTTCCAAGAATCGAGACGCTGGCAACACATCCCCGTATTAGAATTTCGAATTGCTAGTTCGCTTGACAGTCGAGAGCGGCGTGCTCTACATTGGGCGTTGCCAGTTGCCAGTCCCCACCATCAGCGTGAAGCTTTTGATAAATCCCAGCCAATGCAGAGCGTAGTTTGCACCGCTGTAGTAATGGGAACGAGCAGGGCGTCCATGTGATTGGTTCGTTCGTTACCATGGCGACTGTCCTCCCCTCGCGACAGTCTGTTTGACTACCTAAAGCTCTTGGTACTTCACAAGCTGTAGTAGTATCTAAGTAAACACGCAGAGAGGAATATTTGTTTTTCCAATCAGTGCAGGTTTGGAATACCTAAAGTGTTAACTTGTTTGTGAAACCGTTCGTGATGTAAACAATGAAACAAAACCTCCGACGACAAGTTAAGTTCGAATTGATTGTTTCGAATCACAAGTGCACGTAGACTCTATGCGGTGTTCGTGTAGTTTTTTTCGGTTGTGTAATAGTTGAGGTAAATAGTAAAAAAAAAATGTTGACGCCGCAAAAGTTGTATCCTGACGTGAGCAGCATGTCCACATCAGCCAACGCGATGACTCCAATGACGCCTACCTACTCAATGAACACAATGTCTTGTGTTTCCATGGCATCCATGAATTGTTCTCCACAAGCTCCCATGTTTGGGGGTGGCATGCTCACTGCTGATATGACCAATAATAATATGGGAATGAATTCGCGGATTCATCAAAGTAGACAGCAGTTTCTAAACGATTCCCCACAGCTGGCATATACAGCTTTAGGATCTCCGATTTCTCAAACAACCTCATGCATGGCATCTTCGATGCCTGGAATTGCGAATTATCAAATTGGACGTGGCGGTGAATTGAACGGAGGTGATACTTCACCGAACACAGCGCTTCAGCGGGCCGTGCGGACGGAAAAGCCATACAGGAGGTCATATACACATGCAAAACCTCCGTACTCGTACATATCGTTGATTACGATGGCTATTCAGAACAGTCCACAAAAAATGCTGACATTATCTGAAATCTACCAGTTTATTATGGACTTATTCCCGTTCTACAGACAAAACCAACAGAGATGGCAGAACTCCATTCGACATTCACTCTCGTTTAATGACTGTTTTGTGAAAGTGCCGCGAACGCCAGATAAGCCTGGGAAAGGTTCCTTCTGGAGCCTACACCCCGATTCAGGAAATATGTTCGAAAACGGTTGCTACTTGCGGCGGCAAAAGCGATTTAAAGATGAGAAAAAGGAGGTTATTCGTCAGCAGCATAAAAGTCCTTCTCATCATAGCATGGACAACAGCAATAGTTCTGGAAAAAAGACGCCCCTTCACAGTGGCGAGGACAAATCCCATCAGTTGGAAAAGCCATCGGAAAATAACCTAAGTTCGATGATGAACATACATCCGAGTAAATTGGATGTTGATCAGATGAGCATGATGAACGCTAACGAATTGAACATGCACCAGCAACATCATCATCAAAACATGTCTCATGAAGAACTGTCAGTTATGATTAATCGTAGCAATCACTTAGCGTCGCTAACTGAACACCAAGCGATGTTACATCATAATTCCATCAATCATCATCTGAAGCAGGAACCCACTGGATACACACCATCAAATCATCCTTTTTCGATCACGAGGCTACTTCCTACCGAAAGTAAGTCAGATATTAAAATGTATGCTGATATGGGTTACGGATATAATACCTTAAGTCCTCTTCCAAATGCGATACATTCACATGCATCATTAGGAAATGATTATTACAATAGTTCTTCGCTTTACCACTCATCAACGGGAGCGACGGGTTTGTGACAGTATCCTTTAGCCTAGAAACAATTTTATTTGTCAACTCGAATAAACTAAACAGTGTTTACTTTTAAACTATGTTTTTCCCTTCTGCGCAAGGAAAATTATCAATATTTTTAAACCGAATAATGAATCTTGAACTTTGACGGTTTGCTAAGAGTTATGAAGTTTCTTGAGAAAATCTCAGTTTGTAAATATTATTGCTTGTTCGATTTTGTGCGAATAATCGAGTTGTACAGTGTACAAATATTTTTACAGATACATATGTATAAAGGTGTTATTGTTTAAGGGAAAAAATCTGTGAGTGATATTGTTAAAATTCTTGTCGAATACAAGATACATCGATTCGAAAAATCTCAGAAAGAGTTTCGATCTGTCAATTTATTTTTGATTCCAAGTTATGTGCACTATTTAAAATTTTGTGATCTGCGTTTGGTATCAAGTGACAATTTGCAAAGCTACTCATTGATATTGCAATTATTTGAGTTGTAATATTCCAGAGCCTTGTTTTAAAAGCCTCAGCTTATTATTCCTTTCATTCAGAGAAAAAAAAACAGTGACCATCACATGCATACGCAACATAATATCCATATTCTCTTGCCTCTTAAAAATTAATAAACATATCAATTTTTCAACGATATTTGTTTGAAAGCGAATGCGAAATATTATGCAAGCAAGATAACTGATACTGACGTATTTTGAATAAGGATTTAGTACCTACATTGAATACAACGCTTTTAAAGCAATCTGATATTTTGTATTTTTTTCATTATATATTATATATTTGTTTACTTAACTTTGATAATCAAGTGCAAGAAATACTATGTATTCTTAATATTTTCATTAAATGTAAACTTTGTTATACATCTTTTATGTCTCGGATTCAATCGAAGATATTTATCTCATAGGTCACTTGAAAGGCAGTGCCAGTTTCAACAACAAAGGTTTTTGCATTTACTTTTAGTTTTGATGTTTACCATTTGAATCCTGTAAAAACTGTGCAGTATTTGTTAAGATGTAAATTTGTATTCTAATATAATGTGATGTTCTTAATATACTTTTTGCTAAGTATATTATACCGATATGGATATGTGCAACTGATGTGAATCTGTACATTTTAAAAATATGAAAGTATATATAATTTATGTATAATACATTTTTTGTCATAATAAATGTTTCACATCCTATATAAAAATGTTTCATTAGTCATTTATCCACTACGAAATTCCTATATTGACTTGATAATAATTAACAGAGATGTAAAATTTTATTTTGTTCGATAAGATATTAGTCCATTTTGTACACGTGTTTAATTTTATCTCATAATTATTAAATATTTTTATAATCATTCAGTCGTAAGACGTTCCAATTTTTTTTTAAACAACTTATCAGATCAATTAAAAATAAATTAGTTTACAATCGTTTAAATGCACCTTTATTTAATATCGCATAAAAGCAGCTATCAATAACTTTTAATTTATATTCAGTGGTTTCTGTTGATTCCGACAGATCTACCGCTGTGATTTCCTAAATCGCTTCTTATTACAGGATGTTGGCAAAGTTGATGCCAGTTTCTCATGACTGCCTGCTGGTTTCTTTTGAAGTAACTTAAATATTTTTAACATTTGAGTAGGTTATATTTTCCCAAATACAGCTCAATTTTCTTTTGAAAATTTCATTTGCAAAGTTATCTTGCTTATAAAATCGGAATCAAACACACGATTTTACAATTTACAAACCAGTGATGTGCAAAATTGTAGTAAATTGTAGCAATTCTAGACAATATCCTCATTTAGTGAGTTATCCAAGCCAAATTCCTGCGGCATAAAGGCAAGCGTTCTGTCAACTTTTTCGGCAATGTTAAATGTAAACGTTACCCTTTTGAATAAATTTTCTGTTTTTCGAGGATCAGTAACATGCCAGTAGCTAAAATTTTTAAGATTTTCGGGTTTTTAGGCCGTCGTACAAAGGAATTTCCTCTAAAAGTAGGTAATATTATGGTTCCATGCAATTAACTTTTTGCAAGTTTTGAGTTTCAAAAATAGTTTTCAGTGGATTCCAATGTTTTATTTAGGTTGAGCTTTACAGTAAGTAAACAAATTAAGTTAATGCTGCTTCAAATTATGCCATAAGAAATGAAACCTTTGCAACGGTCTAAAATACATGATTTCTGAATATCATATTTGTCTTTTATAGTTGAAAGTTGCTGCTATTTTTATAATCATATTTACTTGCCGCAATAGGCACATTTTAGAATTGTTCTCAATTTTCAATTATTACACTGATTAGGTACATTTGAAAGAGGAGTAATTTGAGATTTAAGAGGGGGTATTACAAGAATAATTTATAACTTTTTAAACTCTTGGAAAGTTTTTTCAAAACGAAATTGTCGACGGTTTTCAGTTTTTAGAAATGCGATTCTAATCCATAAATAATTCAGTTAAAAGTAGAGGCATTGCGTGTGCCTACGCTTCATGCACGTTCACGAATATGGATTAAACTATGAAATAAATATGATTAGAACTATATTATCCCTGACATTCATTGCTCTATGCAGTGTTATCGGTAGCGACGGGCCATTGGGCATTTGTGTCAAAAGGTATTAGCGATTTTTGAGCGCAAGAAAACCCATAATTATTGATTAAAATTGTTCTAGTTTGACAAAACTCAATCCCTCGCTGAAAATTTGCCAACATTTACCTATATTTTGAGTGTGATTTTCAGTAGTTCTTAACAGCTTCTTTCAGATTTAAATCATTTTTCATGTAATTTCATTAAAAAAAAAACATACAAAACACCTTATCGAATTTGAAGCTATTTTTAATGACTGAATATTTTGACTTGAAAAAACTCCGCTCGGCATTTATGGCCCACTAATTTAACCCTTCACTCAGTTTCAATGCAAAGTGAATATGAGAATACTTAAAAAGCCATTCAAGTCGCTATTCTCTCACAATTAGTCAAATTTTCGCTTCTGAAAGTCAAATGGAAATCTTGACAATATCACATTTTGCAACTCTCGTTTTTTGTTACTTTTTTACACAAAAAAATTAATTTCTAGATACAATAAAATTTTTATACGTTAATATTATTACGTAATCTATTAGTACCTATTCTAATAGATTGGTTCACGAAACGAAAAGATGTGTTTTCGGGCCAACAAAATCGCAAGGTGTTTAARCTTCCGAATCGTAATTTTTACAGTTGATTTGAGACGTTTGAGAGTAGTATTTTTACATCTCGTCATTTCCTTTCGTTTCAGCAATGAACTTGTTTCAAAAGATTGGTTTACGAAACGAAAATTTGTGTTTTCTGACCAACGAAAAACCCAAGGTGATTTATATATCTSGAATAAGTCTATTTTATAATTTAAAAAGTTGTAGGTATATTATTAAAAACCTTTTGAATAATTTATTTCAATGTAAGTACAGGGTGTTTTCTCATAAGTTGACACCCCGCCTATATCGTTTATTTCAAAAAATTGTCAAAGTGAGCAACAGAAAAGTTATTTAATTTAAGTCAAATTTTTTAAATCTGAATAAAATAAAAWTAAGAMACTCGGAATTGTCAAAATTTTGCATWAAGTTTCTTTTTTAAACGAAACACCCTATACATTGTTATTGAGTTTCGATTTTATTCCACATTCCTTCAGGAGTGGAAYAACTCATAAGATTGTAGTGTAKACTCTTGTGAATAGAACCGAGCAACATCATGGGTGCTTGATTTGAGCGTTTTTCCCATTCYTTGAGTATTACTTCTTTGTCTTCTGCAGGYTTCGCTTCTGTGCCGTTTGCGAATCCATATAGATCTTTCGCTTTTAGAGCAATCACGATACCGAATTTCCAAATCGTGAAATTCTTGCCGTCGAGCTTTGTAATATCGATAATGTCTCTAATATCTCTGTCAGCCATCGTGATTGAGCAGAGAATCACTTGCACTAAACACAGAATGTAAGTATCACCGAACTTCACTAAACCAGCTTGGTCTATTAACAATATATTATCGCGCAGTGGAAGCGTGCTGGGCCCATAACCTATTGAGTTTCTTCTGAGGTACTCAATTGATCACACAGAGTAATGATAATAACTGTATATTGAACGTAATAATAACAAAAGACAAAAAACGTTAGAGTAAAGTGACAACCTCCGGGAAAGTAACTGCGTTTACTTGGTCGTCACGATATTCTAACGTTTTTTGTCTTTTGTTATTATCACGTTCAATATACATTTATTATCATTACCTACTCTGTGTGATCAATTGAGTACCTCAGAAGAAACTCAATAATTTTTAGACAGGTCGACTGGATTTTTTTCCTGAGTTCAGAAATATGTATATTGCCTAGATTTGTATTAGACCTTTTTCCAATACAACGTTTTAGAAATTATAAGTAGCAATAAATTATAAGTAGCAAAAGTACTCTTGAAAATCGACAAGGGGCTCCCTCCACCACATAATGTTCGGCCGGTAGCACTTAAAAAAAAAATGATTTGGCCTTCAAAAAGTGCCGACCTAACGCCTCTCCATTCTCTGGGCTTATTTAAATAATATTGTATATGAAACTCTGATTAGACGCCTTAAAATAGTCCATGCAATTAAATATATTAATATTCAAAACGTTATAGATACAATTAAAGTAGATTATAGAGCATGTCTCGCGTTAAGCGGACGCCATTCTATACAAAATCGGTGATTTTAATTATTTCGTATTTATTTATTTGTTTTGAAATTAATTTAATTTAAACTGAAATTATTGCTATTTAAAATTTTTCAAACTTAACTCATACAGAAAAAAACGGGTAATACAAATCTAGGCAATATATGTAGGTATATTTCTAAAATCGGGAAAAAAATCGAATCGGCCTGTTTTAAAATATGTAGGGTGTTTCATAAAAAAAAAGACTCTATGGCAAATTTTGACATTTTCGTGATTAATATTTTTATTTGAAATACAGATTTTAGAAAATTGAGTAAAATTAAACAACTTATTATTAATATAATTATGTGCACAAATGCCAAGTTTAAAGTCTTCCTTCTAAATGCCCAAACTTTAATATTTAAATTGCCTGCATTTTAAAAACTAAATAAAAACATATTATTTTCGTTTAAAATAGATTGATTGAAACTCTAAGAAAAAAAACTATAAATTTGGCAACTTCGCAAAAGTTTTCACGCATTACTTTCGGAAAAATTAGGCTGCCATTGGATACAAGCTTTTAGAGAGACACGTATTTTGAAACCTGAAAATTTTAACATTAGTTTAGTACTCTTATCATTATTTCATTCCCTATTCTATGACCATCAAAGAAATAACATTTTTGAAACACTTCATTTTAATTTTTTTTATTTTTTAAACCTGAAGATAAATTCTTCCTTCTCATTTTCAACACGTTTTTTTCACACACAAATCACTAAAATTTTAACACCCTGTACCTTGGAAACTGTGTCCTTAGGGACTTATGTTGATGGGAACTTTTTCTCATTAAATGACCTAAGAAACACGTCCTTAAATATGGCGGCGTCTTTTCTAAACATCCTGATGTATGTGGACGGATTCCAGTTTTACAGTGACAAAAATGAAGCAGTTTTTTTCTAATTTTGTCAAAAACAGCCCGCCAGTTTTTTAACCATCAAAGAGCTACTTACTGAGTTATCAGTATAGCTCAGTAATTTTACTGAGTTATCAGTATATAGAAACTTAGCTGAATTCAAGAAATTAGTTAACTAAACCACTCTCTTCAAGTCACACTTGCTGTTTTTTACTTGATTTTTGAACTTTCTTATATAAAATTTGAAAAACTATTACTTGTAAAGGTCGCTTTTTGCAACTTAACGATCGCATAACATGTTAAAATGCACACCTGCAGTTTTCTCATCCATTTTACCAGTTTGCATGTAAAAAGGATCCAGTATCAAATCGAAATGATGAATTTACACATAAAGTTTATTATAGTGAAAAATTAAAACTATTTCTGCGTATCTCAATACTCGCAAATGTACAAAATAATTCAGACAAATTTAAGGTTTCAAGAAAGCAAAGATTTAAAAGAACGTTAATATTTACCATAATCATGAGGTAAGTTTTTCAAATTTTTTGCTCTCCCAAGAGGAAGAATTTTTTCCCTCAAGAAGTGATGAATGTTTTAACGCTTTATATATTACAGTTTATATACAACATGTTTTAATTGTC